GAGGGAAGGCACAGAAGCTATGGCCTGTGACCATGTGGATCCTCACCCACAGCTCGGAACAAAGGCAGGGCCTGCCTGAGCTTCAAGTCTGCCGGTGTCTAACGAAGCCTGAAACTTGCATTAACTATAAATTTAGCTGCTTCAGCACAGTTTCTATAACCTCGCTCACACTTATCTGCACATGTGGGCATTTCTATGAGTATGAGGAAAGGTGCAGTTACAGGGAGACTGCAGAGAATTACTATGGAGAAGTACTAATAGTTTTGGTTATGCTTAGGAGAGAAGGGCTCTCAAACAATGCTAGATGTTAGAGCATGTGTATGGCCATACATACAGCATACACACACACACACACACACACACACACACACAAAGAAGACACCGTGAACTACCACCCCCCCAGCCTAGAAATGACAGCCTTAGTGAGGAAGCATCAGCCTGCAGCAACCTCCCCTTTGACTGAATAACCCCAGGAGGAAGAGATGAATTCTTACTTTCCCTTTTCAGGTACAGCTTGCTCGTGTGTCCTGAGAGGGTGAGTTCCCAGTGGGAAGTGAGTTGCCTGGGGACTGCTTTGATCTGTGAGTGGGACACTGTTTCATCCTACCACCCACGCCTCCGCAGGGCCTCAGTAAAATCAGTATTTGACTCAACCTGGAACTAAAATTAGTTTCCCATTGCGGAACACAGCCAGACCTCCCTCTGCTCAATTCCTGAAAACAGGTTTCTGATCTTTTTATTGTCATCATCGAGAAACTCTAAAGCCACCTTTTGGGGGTGGGGGAAGCAGGGAACAGACCCGTTGGAAGCAGGAGAAAAGGCAGACCTATAAATCCAGCTAAGCATGCCATCTTGCAAACGTAAGAAGTCGGTCTCTAGTTCCCCACCTGACATTCACACAGGGGAGGCCCAGCCCCAGGCCCTCCCCTTCTATATTGCCTGGTAGCCCTGTGATGAAGTATGACCTCAAAGAATAGATTCTCAACACCTCCCGTGACATGAAACATCAGGTTCTTAGGTGACAAGAAAGGAGAAAGAAATGGAGACAGAAGTAAAGAACCTCTGACAGATTCGGGCTCCCTCTTCAGTTAGGGAGACTTTCCTTCTCACACTACGTGGCTGAGGGACTCTCCAAATGCCTTCACCTCCTCAGCCCCTGGGAAGTGTGAGCAGCTGCTGCAGAATGGACAGTGGTATTAGTACAAGCCTCTTGGACAGGTAGCTTTTAATTGCTGAGGCTAAAGCACAAACTGACCAGCAAGCAGGGACACTGTGTGGACACATGAGTGGCATGCTCATAAAACTATATTGCAGGGCCCAGTGAAGGCAGCCCATAAGAGTGAGACCTCAGCCAGGGTCACTGTTGTGGAATATTACAACTATGTAAAGGTGTGCTACGTTTATTTATGTTGCGGAATATTACTTTAACTATGTAAAGATGCGTTACATTTGTTTATGCTGCATTTGTTTGGTTATGTAAAGATGTGTTGCTGTTTCACTTTGCCTGCTTAAGGCACCTGATTGGTCTAATAAAAAGCTGAATGGCCAATAGCTGGCAGTAGAGGGGTAGGCGGGGCTGATGGGCAGAGAGGTTGAGTAGGAAGAGGAATCTAGGATCCAGGGAGAATGAGGAGAGAATGAGGGAAAAGGAGGAGACACCAGGGCCAGCCAGAAAGACAGATGCAAAGTAGTACATACAGAATAAAAGAAAGGCAAAATGTAGATGAAGAGAAGTGGGTTAAAATAAGTTATAAGAGTTAGCAAGAAGTGAGCCTAAGATAAGGCTGAGCATTTGAAACTAATAATAAGTCTCCCTGTCATGATTTGGGAGTCATTTGGTGAAAAAAGACAGGGTTGGAATCTGAGTGGAAGGCCACTTGCTTATTAGCATGACCAAGACTTTGGGTTTGATCTACAGAAAGAAAAAAAAAAGTCAGGGCCAACTCAGCCTGGTTTTTAGGCAAGAAGCAGTTGTGACAATTTCCACAGGCAAGACAAAAGAGTACCCTTGAAGATGCTTTGGAGGGATGCTATAGACCATGACAGTGGAGAGAGTCTCTGCTGAGAGCAGAGATGCAGAGAGAAGACCCTTTCTGGCCTCTGCCTGCAGCTTTTCTAGAGGGTGGTGAACAGGGCAGATTCTGACTGTAGCATTAAAAGGTCCCAACTAAGGTTTCTGGAGGATTTTCAGGAAGCTGTAGCACAATGGGGAGAGGTGACCTCCCCATGACATCCTTTACAAACAGTAAGGTTTCTCCTGCCTCATGTTTACTCACATATGAAAACAAAGGCTCACTTATTAAAATAGCAACCCCAGTCAAGCAAGTCACCCAAGAAGTCGGTAACTGAGCTAACAAAGATGCAAGAACACTGACTGCTCAGAGGCTTTCTGGGCATCCCTGGAGAGCAAGCAGAAACTCTTATGTGAAAAATAAACAATGATTGGGTTTCTTAGCACCAAGTAATAATATCTTGACACTAGTCCAAGAGATAAGACACTAGACTTAAAAGGGGTCTCCAAATAATTAAGTTTACCTCCTAAGGTGTCCAGGTTCTTTTTCAAGATGTATATCTCAGTTAAATTTCATATCGCCCAGACTCACAACAAAACAGATTTTACATAGTAAGAGGACACCCTAGCCAACAGCAAGGAAAACACAGTGTTATGAATATTCAATTACACAATTGTGCAGATTCTTGCCCCATTAAAACTGTATGCAAGATGCTTGTGCATGGGACTACGTGTGCTATCCTAGGCAAAGGTCCCAGTCTGAATGTTTCAAAGAGACCAGAAAAGGAAGGGACTACTGAACTGAGTATCTGAGATGGCCAGCAGGTCTGCCCTAGGCTGACCTGCTGGGGCACCAGCAGGTCCACGGCATGCTCTCCTCCTTGTTAGTGGCCACAGGTCACCCACACTATTCCTACTCTGTTTTTTAAGCTCTTTGTCTCTCCTCTAGCTGTGTTTTTCTTTTTTCCTTACATTTCTGCCACTAACCTTCACCTTCATTTCTAGGGTGCAGATAAGCATCCTTTGATGTTTTTGCTTTTGAGAGGCAAAGGTGTTTACCAGACTTGTACTTTTCAGTATTTATTGCCAGTTTTGTTTCTTCCCCACACCTGGGCTTGTCCTAGTTTCCTTTAGGTTTGCAAGTGTCTTAGGATGTTGAGGACAGACGTTTGATTGCTGAGGACATCCTCGGGAGCAAGTCTCCTATAGATTTTAGTAACGTGGATGCTGAAAAACCCATGAATACACATGAATACAGAGACACATGCACACACACATACCCAGTCAGCCTGCAGTCTGCAGAACCTTCCAGAAAGCGGAGGTGCTTTGTCTCTTTTCCAGCTCATATTCGTGTCTAGAATATTTACAGCTCCAATCTGAGCTGAGATTTGCAAGAAATATTATTCATGATCACGCTCTATAAATGGGATGTTGGCAAATGAGCCATAAAGAAAGACTAAAGAAAATGGCACTGCTTCTCATTTACTGATGGATTACAGTGGTGCACAGGATGAAAAGAAGGGCATTGGAGAGGACAGGGGAGCCAGCATGTGAGCCCAGCTGCACCCAGTTTGTGACAGTCCCAGTAAAGAGAAAAGGCACTGGCCACTGCCAAACCCTGGGGAAGAGCCCCTAGCCCACACTTTGAAGCAAGAACTAAGTGCTTGAGCTTGTTTATCACATCCCAAAATACAAGATGGAGGCTCTTTTTAAAACATCAAAACATTGGGGCTGGAGAGGTGGCTCTGCAGCTAAGACTACTGGCTGCTCTTACAGAGGACCCAGGTTCAAGTCCCAGCACCCACATGGCAGCTCACAACCAGTTCCTGAGTATTTGATGCTGTCTCTGATCTCCCCAGGCAACAGGCATGTACAGGGTGCCCATACATAAAAGCAGGCAAAACACTCATATACATAAATGAATTAAAAAAAAAAACTTAAAGAAATTGGACCGCGTGACTTCTAGTCTTCCATCAAGGAAGCAGTTTCATTGTTTGAGGGTGGAGACTGAACATTTTTGTTAGATTTTTTTTTTTTATTTGTGTACATGTATGTGTGTGAAGAGTATATTTGTATGTGCACATATGTGTGCATGGATGCTTGTACCCATGCCCGTGCTATGGATGTTGGGTGTCCTGTCTTAGCATTTTCCATCTTATTCCCTGAGACAGGGTCCTTCCCTCTACTTGGAACTCTATGCTGGCCACTAGCAACCCCAGCAATCTTATTGTCTTCATTCCCCAACTTCCTTCCTACCCTTCCAGCACCCCCACCAGGGAACTTCCTGCTTCTACCCAAAGCCCAGAGGTGAGTGTGACTATGCCCAGATTGTTACATGGGTTCTGGGGACTTGAACTCAGGTCCTCAAGTTTATGCAGCAAGTGATCTTAGCTGATGAGCTATCTCCCCAGCCCATAGTTAGTTTTTGTTTCCTTTCTTCCTTCCCTTTTTTATTTATTTATTTATTTTTCTTAGTTTTTGAGTGTTTGAGACAAGGTTTCTCTGGATGACCACTCTGGCTGTCCTGAAACTCACTCTGTAGACCAGGCTGGCCTCAAACCCACAGAGATCCACCTGTCTCTGTCTCCCGAGTGCTAGGATTAAAGGCATGCACTCTCAAAATCTGGCTCTTGGTTAGCTTTTTTAAATCACTAAATAAAAATGGGAGTGAGCATAGTGGGGAAAGATAAAATTCTAAGGAAATCTAGGAGAATAACAGACAATATAAAAATAACTGAAATCTAGGTATACACACATAACAGGGTGCAGACATAGCAACCGTCCAAAAACTGTCGCATGAATAAAAACACTCAAGCTGGAAGATTAGCATCTATGCCTGAGAGGGACAAGAGGGAAAAGCAGCAAGGAGCCATATCTGAGCAGAGCCTACTGCACCGTGAATACCTAACTTCTGTCTTGGGCCTCAGACTGCCCAGGCCTATGGTCGATGACGGTGCCCGAGTCCTGCGACCCCGACCAAGCTCCTTACCTCACTGCAGTCACCATCTGGGATGTGTGATGGCTTTGCTTCTTCATCTAGTGGCTCAAGCACTGTCACCTGTGCAAACTCTTCCACGGATTCTTGAAACTCGGGTAGAGATCTTCGTCCGTAGCGCTTTCCACCTCTCACATATTTGGGCTGAGCCTCTGGTGAGCAGAATGGACAAGGAGACAAGAGGTAAGGTCACATAACATGAGAAGGAGCCCCAAGATGACACTCCTGGGACACAGACCAGCCCTGGGGGCCAGCTGCGGTGACCATGGGTGCATGGGAGTCCTCGAGTTGGATGCAGAGCTGTTTCTACCTCTGATGGTCCCAAGTACCTGCATCTGTGTATCTGCAAGTTACAGAAGCAGCGTTGGCAGAAAGGAAACTGATTCAAAGGCGTAGACTGAGATCAGGAGGGCTGGGTGGGGCAGGTAGCTCGATTGGCAGAGTGCTCACCCAGCAATCACAAAGTCCTGGATTCGATCCCCAGCACCCAGTGAACCCAGTGGTGAACCCAGTGGTGAACCCAGTGGTGAACCCAGTGGTGAACCCAGTGGTGAACCCAGTGGTGAACCCAGTGGTGAACCCAGTGGTGAACCCAGTGGTGAACCCAGTGGTGAACCCAGTGGTGAACCCAGTGGTGAACCCAGTGGTGAACCCAGTGGTGAACCCAGTAATCCTGCACTCGGGAAGTGGAGGCTGGAAGTCCCGAGGCTCAGTGTCATCCTCAGTCATACACAGTGAGTTCAGGGCCAGCTGGGTCTACAGGGAACACCCTATCAAAAGGGGGGTACAGGAGGTGATGACATTGATTTTCTGTTCATTAGGCTGGTGGCTTTAAGTGTGGGAAGGCAAAAGAAGTAGAGAAAGAAAAAAAAAATCTAACCGAGAGACACTTTGTAGTAAGTCCTGGACCTTGTACAGCTCTGAAAAGTTAGTGTCCACCCAATCAGCATCACACACACACACCTCAGGGACCCCTTTGTTAACTTTTCCACTTTCTGATCTACCAGATAGGCAGAGCAACACAAAAGCAAAACTGACCCTGAGAATTCTAATCCACCATCGACAGCTCCTCACTTCTGGGAAACCTGCCATCAAGATTTTCATTATAAAATTATAGAACTAAGAGCTGTGACACAAAATAGTAAGTGGAAAGCCACATTGAGAAAAATGGTACAGCCAGGCGGTGGTGGCGCACGCCTTTAATCCCAGGACTCGGGAGGAGAGGCAGGCGGATCTCTGTGAGTTTGAGGCCAGCCTGGTCCACAGAGTGAGTTCCTGGACAGCTGGGACTATTATATAGAGAAACCCCATCTTGAAAAAACAAACAAGAAAACCACACACACAAGAGAAAAATGGCACACTGCTTCATCTGTTTTCAATGTCAGTGACGTGTAAATAAAGAGGAATGTGCCCAGGGTAGAGTCACCTGCAACTGTGAAGAGCTCTGGTGTCACGGAGTGACGCTTAACTTCAACAATTACCACTTTCACCTTCACCACCACCATCCCATCCACAGCACCATGTCTACAACCACCACCTCTGCTGCCACCACAGCCGCCACCTGCTCCACAGTCACCTCCACCAGCAAGCCCCTCATGCTCTGCTCTGAAGATTTTAAAGCAATAAAGATAAATACTTCACTTCGCTCAAATGCCATCCTCAAGCGCTGTAAGCACTTAACATAGTAGCAGGGCAATAACATATCCCATTAAAATACAATGGAATGCCAACAGTGTGTCCCCACAGACACACTGATACACTCTGGGTCCTGTTGGAACATGACAGTCTAAGCACGATTCAAAACTCAGACACGAATGGTTTAAATGAGGTGTGTACACATATCATCAGGGCAAGCATGGGTGCCCAGATACCATCTGAAGGAAAACCGCCCTTCTTTTATTCTCAGTGGAAGCATGACTGGGTTGGCGGACTTCAGCATCCCTGGGAGGGCAGATGGCCCTGTTTACCAGTCCACCTTCCCCCATACCCTTTCCTTGAGCACAAGCTCGGATTCTGTGATGCTCACAGATGTGGCCCAGCAGCATTCTGAAAATGCTCGGGAAAGCGAAGAGTGAAGTATTTATGATAGCTATTTGATTCCCAGCGATATTAATATACAGCTCTTTGTAAGTGCCGGCCATGTCATTTCATTAGAGATGGAGCGATTTTCTTACAGAAAGTGTTTAAGCAATCAGGCTTTGTATGGAAAATGGCATGCACCCTGGAAGATACCTTTCACGAGAAGAGAGTGTGTCAGCCTGTGCGTATTCAGGATCGGCACAAACACCCGAGCTACTGGTTGGCAGCTGACACCCACAGGTGCTGGTCAGACAGGAAGCAATGCAGAAGCATCCTTAATTTATTAGGTGTTCTTAAATTTTAGTGGCAGACAACGACAGGATATGCCATTAGTGACTATGAGGGCTTAGAAAGGATTAAAAGGAAAACATATAACCCAGGACTTTCCAAGTATTAGGACGAGGTTGTAGCTGGGGTTGGGATGGGCAGAAGAGTTCTTCCTGTGCACTGCACTGCTTCTGACATTTAAAATATGGGAAGCGACAGTCTCTTCAGACGCCACGAGGATGGAGTGCCTAAGCTTACCTGTGGGTGAAGTGGCCCCAGTGGCTACTACGTACTATTAACTTTCCTGTGACAGAAGGTAGCGTTGTTGTAATCTAAACAGCTCTTCTTCTAAACAAAAAAGGTGGCCAATTGTGAACTGCCCGGAAATGTTGCCCATTTGGGGGTTGCTTACTTACTTACTCTTTTTTAATTTCAGGAACTTTAAAACCTCTTAAATTACATTTTATTATAATAACCAGTTGCAAGCAAATTTTAAGTTAATATCTTCTATAGAATCTATATCTGTATATGTACATACACATACACATACACACATATATAATCAGCCAGCATGTGTGTTTCCGGTTCCTAAAAAAAAAAAAATCTTACTTGAATGAAACCGTTAGCATCTACGTAAGAAAGGTGGATTATTAAGGATTTCTTGTCAGTTTCCCAAACTCCCCCACGTGACCAATAAAAATTAGGGTCCACCGCAGCAGTTAGGAATTGTTACCCCTTAGAATCGCACGCTCACGTGTCCCTGTTCTACTGACACCATCAGCATCACTCACTTTATATGAAAGAAGGACAGACCCTGCATGAGTAAGAATGTCCAGAGGATGTTCACGGTTGACAGCCCTCGCTGTGGTGAGCATTTGAGCACCATGCTCCTCTCCAGTGATATCAGCTGGGCTTCCCGAGTTAACAGCAGCAGTCCAAACAGGAGGCCCCTGGGGGACTTTAAGGTGCCCTCAGACATTCAAGTTGAAAACTGCCCATCTCATGAAGAAACTGCCACACTGGGGCAAAGTTGATTTATTTTGGGAGTATACCCAGAAGTGACAGTTTCTCGGGGTTTCATTCTGGAACAACTTTCCTGATGCCAGGTAACTTGGGGTTCTTTGGTTTATGGCTTCCTTCAGCACAGGCCCATGCTCAAAGGAAAGACATGAACGGCTGTCCCGTCTCTGGAGGCTAGGTCTTTCAAGGGATATTCACAAGTCACTCTCTGTTCTTTCCCATTTCTATTTGGCATCAAGCATAACAATAAAATGGGGGAAGGGATGAGTTGAGGAAATGGCTCAGTTGGCAAAGTGCCTGCTGCATAGGCACGAAGACCTAAGCTTGGGTCGTCAGCACCCACAAAGCTGGACCTATATCCCAGCTCTAGGCTGAGTGACAGCAAAGGGTCCTGCAGCATTGCTAGCCAGCCAGCCTAGCTTTTCAGAGCTACACCCCTCTGAAGGAACTGCATTAGGTTCAGTGAGTGACACTGTCTCAAAAATTCAGGTGGGGCCGGGTGGTGGTGGTAGTGCACCCCTTTAACCCAATGAAAAGGAGGGAATCTCTAAGCGATAAAATAATCACAATGAATGTTATCAACATTGCCAATACAGACAGTGATAGCTTATCCTGTGCTACAGATATTATTCTACCTTCATTGCTAAATATTTTAACATGAATTATCTCTGTGAGTTTGAAGCCAGCCTGGTCTACAGAGTGAGTCCCAGGACAGCCAGAACTACACAGAAAAACCCTGTCTCAAAAACAAAAACAAAAAAATAAAAAACAGAAGGAGTAAAGAATACTCAGGAGGGGAGTGACAGAGGAAGACACTCAATGGCAACTTCTGGCCTCCAGGTGCATGAGCACACACCTATGAACACACACACACACACACACACACACACACACACACACATACACACTACAAGAGCTTCGGTAAGGGACATGGCTCTGAGGCCTAGTTTAGATGTCTGTTTTACTCCATAAACTAAGCGCCCGGTTAGAAGGAGAGGATGAAAGAGAAACCTGGATTCATGTCTCTGAAGATGATGGAGTAAGGTGGGGAAACTCACAGGCTCTACACGCAGGTGGAGTTAAGTAGGGAATTCAAAGGGTAAAGAAAGAAAGAAAGAAAAAAAACCCACTCATTTCCTTTGCACCAAGGGTGCCAACAAGCACATACGTTTCATCTTTATTCTATATCTCATCTGTCCCAAGAAGAGACGATTCAGAGATGTGACAGGTGCATGGATGACATGCGACCAGGAGGCCCGGCACTTACAGTAAAACTAAAATTGAAGTAGTTGGGCAGACAGTGGTACCCATGGTGGATGCGCCAGTTTCGGGAGAACAAGACTTGTGGCCTTGACTCCCCAGCGGCATGAGGAACAGCCGGTGTCAGGCTCACTTTCTCTCCCTTCTGAGACTGCGCCACTGGCTCCTGCATTCTGCTGGAGCATTTGCTGTTCCAAATCCACTGAATGACTGGCCAAAAGAAGAGAGATCTCAGCCTAATCGTGACTTCATCATGCAACACCCTCTCTGCACAAACACAGGTTCAGGGCCAAAGCATAACAGAGAACTTAGGCAAGAGTATCAGAGATGCCTTCAGTGTGAGTCCTTTACCTCACATTCACTGGACATCTGAGGGGTTATCTCACGTCTGTTGAGGGATTTGATGGACTTTTTAAAGAAATCATGTTTTAAATCAAACTTTTCTGAATAGCCTTAGACTGTTTCCAAGGATGAAGAAGAAAGCCTGGCCATTATAATACCAACATTGTTCTTCTGGAATGGCTCC